TAGGCTGTCTACCATGCCTTGAACTTTTTGTTTTTTATGGTATGTCTTCTTTGGCACATTTCCCACAAATCTGATCTGAAAGACTTACTTTTTCAAGAATGAAAAAAGGAGTTTAGAATTACACTGTTACATTGTCCAAGAAAAAGTAAAGTAATTTAGTTGTACTGATTTGACATTATATTATGACACCAGCCATATAAAATGGTTGGCATACAGATGATCAAGTAGCTAGGAAATGTATAAAAGAGTATTTGAGTTGTGGATTAAATCCTTTGCTTTGGATGAAGAAAGCTGATGGAAAAAAATAAACAAAATGCAATAATTTATTTTCAAGTATTTTGCAAGCATTGTTTGCAATGCTTCCAAAATACTGAAGTAAGCATTTGCAATACTGAAGCAAGCATTGCTTATTTTCAAGTTCAAGGCTTTGGGTATTTGATAATCTGAGAAATTCTGAACATTTGAAAAAAGCATGAGTTCTACCATTCTAAGGAAACCTGATTATGATAACATTTTCTCATATGGATGAAGATTTAATGAAATGTGAAACAGAGATCTAAGCTGGTTTGAATATGTGCAGATAAGACATCTAACAACATAGTTAGCAAACATTAGAATAAAGCAAAAGAAAAAAAAAATTGAATGCAAAGATGCAGTTGTTTAGAACAAAATATAAACTGTCCAAAATATATAACTGATTATAAAAAAAATAAAATTTCATCTACAAGTTAATAATATAAATAATTGAGTGACCTTAAAAGTAGTCTAAGCACTTCTGAAAACCAGAAATATTTCTGGAAAGAAAATCAGTCACCAATTTTCTATATGCATAAATATAGGAAGGAAGTTTTACATATTAAGAGAGAAGAGATGTGGGATTTCCAACAAGCTAAAAATAATGAATATAAATTATAGCCCAATCTGTTGAAGATATAAATCTCAAGTAGATTTTCCTATTCACTTATAGTGGACATTTTCAAAAAAAGAATATATTTTGTGACAAATCAAATACTGAGTTTTCTAATTTTTTAACTAATATTAGACTATTATTAGTCAACATAGGGAAACAATTTCTTACATGCCTGTTGTATCTAGGATAGCCTAAAGGGGGGGGGGGCAGTTTAAAAAGAAAGATTGTCCAACCTTTGCATCCATTCATTACTTGTAAGGACAATCACATTTGTTGACAACAATGAAAAGAGATAAAAACTGGGCATATTTCACTAGAAATACTATCTGCTAATTTTTTTTAAAAAAAAAAATAGGGACACGATTGTAGATTTTTACAAATATGTGTATTTGGCATGGTGGAACATTTACAGAGCAATCCTATGCAGTCTTATTCAAGCTGTAAATGTTACAGTGAACTGTGAGATTTAAACATAGGTTTGCTGCCAAAAGTTATCAATGCATATACAATGTGCATTTCAACGTTAACAATAATCAAGGGGAAAAACCTCTACAGCTTTTCCAACACAACTGAGAAGAT